TGAGCCCTGCCCCCCTCCACCAGCCCTTCTCTCCCCCCAGTGCCCACTCCTCTAGTAGCCCCACTCTGATCATGTAAACTACCCCTCCTCATCCTCTCTACACACCTGCCCTGCCTCTCTCCTCTGCTGCTGGTCCCTCCCCTGCAGGTGTCTGCCCTTCTGCTTTACCAACAGAATCCCCTGGCACCTGCACTTTCCTGGTGCCTCCCTATTCCCTCACTGCCCCTGCCTCCTTTTTCCCTAATGTCCACCCCCTCACCACCCTTTGCCCCCATTCCCCTCATGCCCCTGTGCCCTCACACGACTTGCTCCATCCCTACCTTCCTCATACCTACCCCTTCTTTCAAGCCTTCTCCCAGCACCTTCCCCTCCCTCCTCTAGCCCCCAATGCCCTTACCCTTTCCTCTCCCAACATCACCCTGTCCCCCCTCCCACTGACACCTCTTCTCCTTCCCTTTTCCTCATTGTCTGCACTTGGTCTGCTGGCATTTCTCTCTCCTGCACCCTGTCCCTTGGTGCCTTCCCCTTTCTTCTCCTGCCCAGTCCCCCTCCCCTCAGCACAAATCCCTTCCTTCCTATTTTTCCCTTTCCCCTCCCCAACCTTCTGCCTTCCAGTTTGCGGGGCTGGAGTCTGTGGAGCTGCTCCAGTTGTTGGCCGAGGGCCAGGCGGAAGATCTCCAAGAGACACGAGACCGTAGTAACCACAGAGCCCTAACGCTCTGAGCAGGATCCACACACAGAGGCACCGGAAGCCACATTTATCCTCCAGGTTCAACATCCCACCTTCCCGGGAAATGTAGCTCCCCAGAACAAGCTGTGGGGGGCCAAATTGTTGATTCCTGGTTGAGTCTGATGCCGTGGGGTGGAGGAGAAGCCCTGTCCCATCCCCTGAGCATGTTGTGGAGCCGCAGCCAGATTCACTCACACTTCGTCAGGACCATGCTCGGGACTGACAGTGTCCCAGGATCAGCATGTGCCAGGGTCAGTCCCTCTCCCCGCCGGATGATTTGCTTACTGCTCCCGCCACCCTCCCAGCCACTCCTGCTTCCTGCCAATCTCCCCTGGCCAGCCCCACTGCCTCTGACACCTTCCCCCCATCTCTGCCAGCCAGCCACACTGCCCCTCCTCCCCATCTCCCCAGGCTAGCTACACTGCTCCTGCCGGCCAGCCCCTCCCCTCCCCCCTTCTCCCCGTTTTTTTCCCCCCTGGATGGGCTCAGAGCAGCAGGCCCCCACCACGTGGGCAGCTCCGGAGCTGGGCCACCAGCAGCCCAGCTTGGGGCCGAGCCCAGCGCACAAGGAGCGGCCACTGCAGCCCTGCCCAGCCAGGCACTCCTTCCAGCGCGACCCGGCCAGTGGCAAGACTCCGGGGCCCCAGCACGATTGGCCGCTGGGGTGCAGGCGGGCGAGTGGCGCTGGCAAGGCAGGGAGCCCGGTCCCCCCGTCCCGCGCCCCCCCCATGAGCGGCTCCTCTACTGTCACTAGAGCTGCACTGGAGATGGCAGACAGTAGTAGGGGTTGAAGGCGGGGGGGCCCCACAGGCAGGAAGAGGGATTTGCGGGGGTGTGCACAGGAGGGGGTGGCCAGCCGCAGGAGGCACATGGGTGGTGGGGAGGGAACACACACACCCAAAGCTCTCCCACATCCTCCACCAGTTTCATGGTGTACAGTCCCGACTTTTTCAAGTGTCCGGGGTCGCCGGAGCATGCGCAGCTTCCGACGCCACGGCTGCCTACATCTTCTTGCGGGGGCGGAGGGCAGGGCTTGCCCTGTCACACCCCTCCTCCTCCAGCAGCCTCCAGCCAGCCAGTCTGCCAGTCCGCCCCACATTAGGGTGTGTCCAGGCATACCCGGCACACCCTGTGCGCAAGCCAGTGCTTCAAGCTCTGATTCTATGATCTCAGATGCCTCCAACACTGGGTAGCTTCCATCTATCGTCCAGGAAACCTCAATGTTCACAGATCAGTGTCAGTACCTACAGTAGTACAGGACTCCCTGGCATGGAGGGCCTCTTCCACCAACATGCTTACAGCATTCCATTCTATTCCATCGTCCACAACCCATGATACAGATTACTACAGATGCGTCTCTCTTGGGTTGGGGAGATCACCGTGCGGGATGTCATGTTCAAGGACAATGGACCACACAAGAATCTCTCCAACATATCAATTTCCTTGACCTGAGGGCAGTATTCAATGCCTGCAAGTGATTTCTATCCACCATTCACGGTCACGCTATTCAAGTCCCTACCGACAACATGACCATGGTCTATTATATCAGCCAGCAAGGAAGAGCCCGGTCCAGATCTTTGTGCAGAGGTGACGCAATTATGGAACCAGTGCATTCACCACGATGTCACCATTGTCGCTACGTACCTCCAGGGCAAAGATAATACCATTGCTGACACCCTCAGCAGACATTTATTTCTTTAGTATGAGTGGGAACTCAACCATGACATAACGCAGCATCACTTCCAACGATCGGGGTACCCCACTATAGACCTATTCGCAACACATCAGAATGCGAAGTGTCCGGAGTACTGCTCCAGAGTGGGTGTTGGACTGAAGTCCCTCGGGGATGCATTCCTACTGGACTGGAGCCGCCACCTACTTTATGATTTTCCTCCAATTCCACTTCTCCCAAAAGTACTGGAGAAGATATCAGTAGACGGAGCCACAGTTATACGCATAGCCCCGTTTTGGCCCAGACAGACATGGCTTCCAGTTCTCTTCCAAATGTCTTTATGCCCTCCATACCATCTGCCAGAACAACCCGACTTTCTGACACAGCGAGGGCTGACCATGATGCACCTACAAATTGACTGACTACACCTCACAGTGTGGCTCCTAGCTGGTTCCAATGGATGGAAATTGTCTGTTCTCAGGAGGTAAAGCACATGCTAATGCACAGTAGGTGGGATTCCACATGAACAACTTACGTGCATAAATGGTGTCATTTCTATACCTGGTGTGCTGCTAATAACCTAGACTCATTCTCTATTCATCGCATCCTCCAACACTCGGGCTTGGCGTTACCATCCATCAGAGTTCATCTCACAGCGATATCTGCCTTTAGACAACTGGTAAAAGTTACTCAATATTTGCCTATCCCATGACCAAATGATTCCTAAAAGGTCTTTCCAATCTATACCTCCTATGCAGAATTCCACTGGTTTTATGGGATCTAGAGCTAGTTCTGGACACTCTGATGTATCCCTCATTTGAGCCTTTCGTCACCTGTGATCTGGCAATGCTCACGCTGAAGCTCGTCTTCTTACTAGCGATTACATACACACGCTGGGTAGATGAGTTGGCTGCTCTTTCGACCACACCACCATACACCCTGTTTACCTGGGGTCATGCTGCGCCCCCACCCAAACTTCTTACCGAAAGTGAACTCGGAGTTCCACGTCAGTGAACCCATAATCCTCCCAAAATTTTATCCCAAGCTGCACTCTTCCAACCATGAAGCCCAGCTACATACCTTGGACATACGTAGAGCTCTGGCCTTCTATCTGGAGAGAACAGAGAACATGTCCCTTTCGGCAATTGCAATGCTTACTACTCTGTACGGCTGAATCATAGAATACTAGGACTGGAAGGGACCTCAAGAGGTCATCGAGTCCAGACCCCTGCCCTCATGGCAGGACCAAATACTGTCTGGACCATCCCTGATAGACATTTATCTAACCTACTCTTAAATATCTCTAGAGATGGAGATTCCACAACCTCCCTGGGCAATTTATTCCAGTGTTTGACTACCCTGACGGTTAGGAATGATCTAAGGGCCAACCTTTGATGGCACAATGCACTTCCAAGCTAACTGTGAACTGCATCTCAGAGCTGCTACTCATTGCTTAACAGGCCCCTTCCAAACACAATGAAAGCTCACTCCACCAGAGCGATGGCGATGTTGACAGCCTTCCTCAGAGGAGTCCCCTTACAAGATATCCATCACACGGCAGCTTGGTCCTCAGACATTACATTCGCAAGACATTATGCCATTGATGCTCTCGTGCATGACTCAGCAGTTGCCTTTGCAGTACTTTCTAGGGCAGATAGATCATAATTCCGATTTCCACTTCCGTAGACCAGGCTACTGCTCTGTAGTCACCTACAGTGCAGCACCCACAGGCAGGGCCAGTCCGAGCCCTTTTGGCGCCCTGGGCCTGGGTGTGCGGCGCTGCCCCTGGGCACAGGGTGCATGCGCAGGCCCGCCAGTGGGGTGCAGGCCCGCCCCCCACAGGGCGCATGAGCCCGCCCATGGGGTGCATGACGCATGCGCGCGCCAGCCACGGCCGCTGGCGCGAAGCCCGAGGCCTGCCCCGAGATGCTCGGCGCATGCACGGGCCGGTCACGGCCGCTGGTGCGCAGCCTGAGGCCCGCCCCCAGGGCGCACGGCGCATGTGCTGGCCAGCGCTGCAGACGCACGTGCCGGGCTGTGCAGGACCCTGCAGCCGTGGGGGCAAGGACGCTGCTGTCTGGCGCTGCGGGAGCTGAGCGCGCGGCTCCTGATGCACAGCGTCCCTTACAGCTGCTACCCCTTATAGCTGCCATCAGGGACCCCAGTGGGTTGGCGCCCTGAGCAGCTGCTCGGCTCGCCCATGCCTCCGTCCAGCCCTGCCCACGGGAACACTACCTAAAGAAGAAGAAGTAGTTACTCTCCTTTTGCAGTAATGATGGTTCTTCGAGGTGTGTCCCCCCATGGGTGCTCCACAACCCGCCCTCCTCCCCACTTCGGAGTCTCTTCTTTTTGTCTTTCGGATATGATTTAAGTAGGAGGAACTGGCGGGAGCCGGACCACGTGCACACTCAGAAACGGTGCGAAAGGTATGCGACCCCTCCTGCGCATGCGCAGTCTGGCTGAACTACGGCTGATGAATCTCCAACCTGTGGCACCAGGATGAGCCCGACACCTACAGTGGAGGATCCAAGGGGGGGCACGCCTCAAAGAACTGTTGTTACTGCACAAGGTGAGTAACTTCCTCTTTTTAAAAATAATGGCATGATTAAATTATGAAAGCCTGACAAAGTAAAAAAAGCTGTTTTTCTTAAGATGTTCTGTTTTTATTCTGTCTGCTTTACTGATAGTGAGAGACTGAGTAGGCATAATAACGATATGTACGTTTTCCATCTGGTGTTTGCAAAATATTAAAGAAACTTTGGTTTGTTTAAAAATGCAGAGGTAACAATGTAATTTTTTTTCATTGTATTATAGAATAAGGCTGTGATCTTTCAAATGTTTGTGCTTAATTTCAAGCACACAAGTAGTCCCACTGAAATAAATATTTTTGAAGTTAAGCAAGTGCATAAGAATTAGCAGGATTGTGGTCTTATTTTTTGCCGAGGACTCATATTTCTTTATCAATAAAAGATAATCATTCAATGTAATAAGATTACATTATTTTTCTTAGGGCAATACATGCAGCTACTCACTATGATTACACAGTGGAATTTACTGGACTAGGTATCCCGCCACCTGGAACTGAGGATGTTGGATTTTGTACCCAAATAGGTGTGTTTATGAGAAACCATCCAAAGAATGGTGAAACTGTTAGTTCTGAGAAACACACAAAACATGCTTACAAAACTGTAAGTATCTCCTGCTCTCCGCTCTTCATATCTACTTAGTTTGCTTTATATAGGGATCAATAGGAAAGGGACAATTTTGTGAGACAGAATCATAAGGGTTATGTATATACCATATCCTGTTATTGATACATGCATTTAATAGCATAGGGTATGTCTGCACTAATATGTGACAATGACATAAGTACAGTGCTTCAGTATGGATCAGTGGTGGGCAACCTGCAGTCCTTGGGCCACACAGAGCCCATCAGAGTAAGCAGCTGGCAGGCAGAAGACTATTTATGTTGAGTATCCATTTTCCCCTGCAGCTCCCAGTGACTGTGGTTCACCATTCCCAGCTAATGAAAGCTGCAGGAAGCAGTTGCCAGCACGTCCTGGTGGCCCACTGCTTCCTGCAGTTCACGTTGGCTGGGAACAGTGAATCGCAGTCACTGGAAGCTGCAGGAAGTGATGGCTGCAGATGCTCGAGAAACTGTAAACAAACTGTCTCAGGGCCTGCCAGCTGCTTACCCTAATGGGCTGTGTGTGGCCCATGGACTGCAGGTTGCCCATCACTGGTATAAATACTGCCTACACAGATAGGAGGGGTTCACAGCCCTGAGTGAGACACATACCTGTGCTGAGGTATGTTCCCAGTGTAGACCAGCTCATGTTCAAGAGCGCTTTGAAGAAAATGAACTTGTTGCTGTGTTTCCAAAAATACCAAACATTGTGCCTATGTCTAGACTGCATCCCTCTTTTGAAAGAGGAATGTAAATTAGACATATCAAAATTGCAAATGAAGCCAGGATTTGAATTTCCCGTGCTTCATTTGCATAATCGCATCAGTGTTTCTTGAAAAACTATTTCGAAAGTGAAACCGTGGTCCAAATGTGGTTCTTTTGGAAAAAAAAAAAAAGCCTTTTTTTGAAAGATCCTGTAAACCTCATTTTTTGAGGAGTACATGATCTTTCGAAAGGCGTTTCTTTTAGAACCGCATCTAGACTGCGGTTTCACTTTCGAAATAGCGTTTTTGGATAAAACGATGCAATTATGCAAATGAAGCGTGGGAAATTCAAATCCCAGCTTCATTTGCAATTTTGATACGTCTAATTTACATCCTTTTTCAAAAGAGGGATGTAGTCTAGACATAGCCTAAGATATGGAAAAGCAAATTTTGCTGTCTTAAACAAGGCTTTCTTGGAAAACTAAGTTAATATTTTAAAGGGTTTTGTAAGCAACATTTTAATTCTAGAAATTAACAGTGGTCTAGATATCAAAAGCTTCTAAAGCTGGGGGAGGAGAGCAGGGCAACTTTTCTGTGGTAGCAGGGCAGCTTTTCTGCTGTTTAAACTTAATGGTCTTGTGTTACTTTTTTATGATATAGAGCAGTTTATTTTAAGTGGAAAATCAATTTATACAAAAATGGTTATTTTAACTTAAAATATAATTGTTAGGGTTAAAATATTTCATTATCAACACACTTTTTCCATTGTATTCTCTAGTTTATTGTTGTTTGGTTGGTTAATGGTTTGGTTGGTTAATGGAATTGATATTTACAGGTATAAGCATTTTTAAGAGGAAATAAGTATTTTGAAGAATAGTATGAAATTAGAAAATATATATGAGAGAAATAACCATCTTGTGTCCTTGTAAATTCACCCTAACTAAAGTAATATTACCCTTTTTTTTTTTACTTGAGTGGCTGGCCAAAAAGTTGGGGTCTTGCAGGTTATACTGTTTGGAAGAGAGATTGATGAATGAGTTGGGTATCTTTGATGTAATTTTGTTTATTTATGAGGAATGTATGTAGTCCTATTTCACTGAACACAGAGGGAATAAAAAAAACCACCAAGAGATAATTCCTTTCCTAATATTTTGGGTTTTAAAGGTTTTCAAGGCAGTGTACCCAAGTCTTAAAGATGAAAAGTACCTGCAGAATGCAGTGGTCAATGAAGTTATTTTTGGAGCAGAAATCATTAAAAGAAGACTACTAGGCAATTTCAAGTCTGAGCGTAAGAAGCATAATGAGACGAAACTCAAATTCCAGCCATTTAAATGTTGCATGAGATGTTCAACGAATCTTTCTCTAGCAGAAACTGAAAAATGTGCTGCTGATAGAAGCACGGAGCCATTTGTAGATGGAAACAAAGTTTGCATACCTCTGGCAAAAATCTTTTTGATTCCCAAAGTGAATCAACTTTGTGGTACCTTTGAGAAGTTAAACAAGCTTATTGCTGGCAAAGTAGCCCTGAATAGTGATGGTTCTGCTGTGATAGTCACTGTTGAAAATGAAAATGAAGAACAAGAGTATTAGAAAATCCTTCAAATCCTTCAAACTATGGTAACAAAGAAAACCTTATTTAGTAGATTCATGCTGATGTTCTTTCTATACAATGACTAGAACAGGGGTGGGCAATAATTTTTTGGGGGGTCCACTTCAGAAATTTTTGAAGCAGCCCCGGGTTGCACAGGAAGGGGCGGGGCCAGGATACTTCTGGGTTCCCCTCCCTCAGACTCTGATTGGTCTGGGGGTGAGGAAGTGCCTTTGCCCCTCCCCCCCATGGTTTCCCCGAGGTGCCCATGACTCTGGCGTGGGAGGAGACTTCCTGCATTCCCCAATTAGGGTCTGGGGGTGCGCGCAAAGCCGCCTCCGCTCTGCCTCTGCCCTGTGAGCAGTATGTGGCACTTAAAAGCTCCATGTGCTCCTGGCAGGATGTTTGCTGTATAGTTCTTATTAAAGGCAACACAACTCTTTAAAGATTATGGAGCAGAATTTCAAAGATACAAAAGGGAGGAGTTAAGCATTCAACTCCCATTGAAGGGCAATAGTTCATTGAGCCTCTCTTTGTTTGCTCTTCTCTTATTTATTTCTCAGGCATGATAATTGAGCCATTTTGGGTATGTTGGGTGTATGGACACAGATTTCGCTATCTGAGACTGAGTACTTCAAAGACTAGTCATGTGAACGGTGTTGTAGTAGTGCACTACTGCTTCACCATCTATCTAGCTTTGTTTTCACATATTGATTCCAATGTTAAAACCTAGACAACACTTCTAATTATATCATCTATCAGCTATAAAACAAGCTCTTGAGTAAGAGGGACCAAAATGTTAATGTTTTTGGTAAAACATGCCTACCTTTTTTTGTTTTTAAGTTTTATTGTTGTAGTAAGAGTGAATATGAAGAGTGAGAAATGGAAATTCAGAAAACCTATCTTATTGTATGGTACAGCTGCAAGAGAAATGCAAGCAGCAGGTAGAAGACCTACATCAGAATGGAATAGTTAAAAAAGCATACATTTGGACTAAATACAGAAATAAAAATATCCATCTAGAATAAGCCACTAATGTCTGACAGCCATTGTACAAGTTCTTGTATATTTTTTTCTCCTTCCCTTTTTTGGTCATCATATTTAGGCAGCATTGATCCCATGCACATAACTTGATGGAAACATACGGTAGTCTTCATTATGGAGCAAAGTCAACCTAATTTATGCAACTCCAGCTGCAGTACCTTAGAGCAAGTTACTGCAGAGACTCCACTGTGGGGGGTTAATGGGAGAAACTCTCCTGTTGACTTCCCTTATACTGAGGGAATCAGCCACTAATGGCTGACAGCCATTGTACAAGTTCTTATAGAAGGAGAGAGTAGTTGGCAGTCGATTTAGCGGATCTTCACTAGACCTGCTAAATTGATGCCTGTGGGATTGATCACTGCAGCACCAATCCCCCAATAAATGTAGACAAGAAATAGAAATATGTCCTCCTTTGGACTTGTGTAATGGCAGTTAACATGAGTGAGTGTCACACCTTCATGTGGTGTTAACAAAATACTTTTTATGAATATAATTGCAACCCAGAGCACAGTATCAGGCTTGAGGAAAATAAAATGCTTCTTCAGGCTAACGGAAAAATGATACAACTAGTTCGTAATAGCAGAGGAAGGTCAAAGAGAATAATCTGCTGGGGAAGTGGCAGGCATTATTGTGTACAGGCACTGTACCACTAAAGAAAATGTGTTACTGCTTTCTGTTAAAAAGAGCTCGTAAAATAATTTGTGCTTTTCAGCTGTTCACTAGTTGGACAAATTTCAATTGAAATTGCTATCTCTGGTGTATGTTTAAATATCGTTAATAGAAGAAATTTTCTATATATGTATAAGGGAAAACTATTCTCTCAAAGCAATAATTAATACATACTATTCCTAAATACTCTCAATAGAAATAGAAGGCTATGCAATACTCATGATGGTGGAGCTCTATGATTTTGGCCAAGGAGATTATTCTTCTAGAAAGAGCTGGCTGGCCTGCTTTAGGCAAGGATATATCACACACATAAGTGTGTAGTAAACAAATGACTGACTATTAATCTCTAACAGCTAAAACTTTTATGTATGAACAAGAATAGCATGTTTGCACTTGTTGCAAAAAATTCCTCAGTTTTCTCCTTTCTTCAAGATAAATAATATTTTTGATGTGACTGGGTCACGGCACATGATTTTCTTTTGTTAATATTTGATAAATGCTAAAAATGTTTCTCATGAGTAACGTACAGACCTCACTCCTTGGACACTCATACTGATATCACTGGAAGATTTGGGTGAGTACATACTGCAGGATCAGGCCTTTTTTTTTTTTTTAAAGATATTTATAAAAATGTAAAGCAGTTCTGTGTAAAGGTCAATTAGTGTTTTAGAGGATGACCTAAGAACCTCTGAGGGATAGATGAGAATCTATAAGCAGGATTAGTTTCTGTGAAGGAGATAAATGCTTTGAAGCATTTCACCTCATACCAAGTGTTTTATAATTTAGTACTTTTACTTGGTTTTGTATGGAATTTTCCCATCGTTGTTAAATAGCTATACTTACTAAACACTAACATGTAAACAAAACTGATTAGAATTACTTTCTCCTTTGTATTTTTTTGTTGTACAGTTAACTTGTAAAATGCCTTCAATGTTAAAAAGTAAAATTCAGAGCTTGTAAATAAATTGTTCTTTGTCTAATAATGAGCCCAGCTATTTAATGTAATGTAGAGTTCGGTAACATTAGCTGTCCTTTCTTTGAAGAAATCCTTGCAATTCAGTGGCTGTAAGGCACATTTAGCTGATACTGCTATATCTCTTAGGCTATGTCTACACTTGTGGCTTCTTGCGCAAGTACAGTCGTTCTTGCGCAAGAATCTGCAGCGCATCCACACTGCCCACCCGCTCTTGCGCAAGGAAATTTACAGTATGGCATGGTAAGAGAGGGCTTCTTACGCAAGCGCTACACTCTTTATCAGGTGTAAGCCCTCTTGCGCAGGAGCTCTTACACAAGAGGGCAGTGTGGACGCTCGGCCAGGATTTCTTGCGCAAGAAAACCCTATGGCTAAAATAGCTATCAGAGCTTTCTTGCGCAAGGGAGCGTCCACATTGCCATAGGCGCTCTTGCGCAAAAGCACAGTGCGCACATGGCAGTGTGGATGTTTCCTTGCGCAAGACTACTTGCACAAGAACCCTTGCGCAAGAAAATCTTGCGCAAGAAGCTGCCAGTGTAGACATAGCCTTAGGGTTTTTGGTTCCCACCCTTTTCTTTCCCCAGCCTTTGTTTTTTCTTGTTGGTATTTATTTAGTATATTTCATAGCTTGATCATTAAAATAAGTAACAGGGTTCTGTGAGAATTGGAACAATATTAGCCTTGAATATAATATCATGATACAACTAAGTGTTGGAGTGCCTGTGGAATCATTGTTATTCTTCTTCAAAAGATTACTTCTCTATTGTTCTGTAAATACTGCTGAAAATTGATCTGTGTGAATACTAGAATGGCTGCCTTTATCCCACAACCAAAGGACACGTAATTGCCTCCAAAAAATTCAACTTCCATGTAACATGATCGATTACTTTTTCCTTCTATAATCTTGACTTTTAGAAATTAATACTGGCTGTTAGCTTCTTAAAGGGAGAAGATAGAACCTAGATAAATAATTTGTGCTTCTGTGGTATGGCCTCAAATCACTTCATAAACATTAAGACCTACAAATCCCTGTTTAGGTAGGTAAGCAAGCTTCCTTGTAAAAGTGCTCACACTGAATCGTGGTGAGGTCATGTGACTTGCCCAAGCTATTACAACAAATCAGTAATGGACCCATGACTTTGGCTATGTCTGTATTACTGTTTATGAGGTGTAGCCAGTTAGGCCTCATGAAGGGGCTCCTTTGCCTCCGACTCAGTGGACAGCCACTCCACCTGACTACTGTGGGGACTAAACCAAACCCCCAGTTCGATAGTCTAGGCCCAGAGCTTGGGTGGTGTTATAAGTCCCCCCCCGGGGGGTTCAAGTCCCCCAAGTTGTAACTGTGCCATTCGCAGCTCCATTTCCACAGTGCTCTCTGTTCGCACGCTATGTTGGGGTATATAATATGGTCATATGACCACCTGGCACGGGGACCACACTCTGAGTACCAGGGAAGGGCGTCCAGGCCCTCCCTCTCTCCGAACCCCAGCCCAGGGCCCTTAGGCTGGGACCTCGGTCCCTGCTCAGTGGAGGGGGCTGTGGCCCCTAAACTCCCCCACTCATGGGGTCCACGACCCTGCCTTGGGCCACTTCTTCCCCTGTCCCATACTTAAGTCTGACCCACAGGGGCGGGGTTGACAGCCCCCATTCTTTGGGTGTGTCCTCGGCCCATCAAGTGCCATTGTCCCACAGGGCCTGGATAATCAGCCTGTCCATAGCAATGCTTAACCACATTCAGAGAAATATTCAGCTTCCACACAGATTACAGATTCCTACTGTTGAAGCAAAAATATGCTTTTTTTTGTTTAGGCGGCTAACAACTGATTTGCTTTATTGATTAGTAAAGCAAAGTGAGCCAAACGTGGTTTCAGCAAAGCCGGGCCAAGTAAAGCTGCTAATACAATTAATTTTAGTATTTTTATACCCTTAGCCAAACAGTTTGACGTTAGGGCATTTAATTACAGAAATTTTTAATTAAATTTGGAAAAACAAGGCCTTATTAACAAGATGGTGGACAGGTACGAGGGAGTACATTTTTTGTTTTAACCAGCCCAATTAACATACCAATAGCCCATCCTGTAGGCCTCTCCTCATGGGGTGACAGAAAGTTTTCTTTGGTTTATGTGCTTGAGAGAAAAGCTGAAATGGTTTTTGATATACAAGATGGCTTTTAGCTAAACATAAAATAGCTTTTACACTACCTACACACAGACATTATACACTCATATAAATAGCATACATAAGATCAGCAAACAATAAGCTCCCATTCAATACCCCACATGGCTCCCTTTTATACCTTTTTTTGGGGCCAACACCCCACTATGGGTGCATCAGTGATCTGGCTGCTCCCCTCAAGATCCAGCAACGTGACACCTGGACATCAGGCCAGTCTCTTGGGGGTTCGAGGGTGGTCCAGGCCAGTGTTCAACCCCTTCCAGGTCCAGCAGTCCCAGCCAATCCTCAGGTACAGGCCTGTAGAGATGTTTGGGCCGATCCCTCAGGTCAGGCACCGCTGATGGTCCAGGCAAGTCCTCAGGTGCAGGCCAGCTCGAGGGTTCAGGTCCATTCTCCCCATCAAGCACACCTGGTGGTCTAGGCCAAATCTCAGCCTCCCAGGCAGGGAGCAGCAGACAGACCTCTAGAAGCTGGGCCCAAACTGAGCTCTCAGGCTGGGCTTTTATAGTCCACCCCTACCATTATCCTCTGTCATCCCTTGGATGGTTAGGGGGATCCTAGCATGGGGGTACACTTTCACACTCATGAACGCATTGCAGACGCAGTTCTCCTTCTGGTACCATGGAGGTTGGGATTATCTCCTCTCCAGATGAGGATCTGGCCACACCTTGAATTGAGGAGGGCTACCACTTGCCATGACTCCACCTGTACAAGGGTCGTGAGTTTTGGCAGGCCAGGTTGCAACCCATATTGGGGCAGTCACATTGTAAGTATCCCAGGCAGCTGCCCAAAAAACCTGGGCCAAGTTCAGGATGGGGGAAGTTCACAGGGCCCTCAAGTGGAGGGTAGCACCCATGTTCCCGTGATACCAGATGGGGGGGGTGTCTCGGGGTTTCTCTGTAGCTTGGGCCTACTTGGACATGGGGCCACGCCACCCGGGCCCTCTGCTGGTGGGAGTTTGGCATGCGGTGCTGCCCTCAGGCTAGGCTGCAGCGTTGATGCTGAAGCAAGTGCCCGTAGGGTGGGCGTTGGGGTGCAGGTTCCTAGACCCATGGGGTTGTCAACTGCCAGCAAGTTTTCCATCAAGGTGATGGCTTCGGGGTCATCTTCAGGCCCCATCTCAGTGAGGTGGACAGGAGTGGTGGGGCTGGTTGGCTCTCCAGCAGGTCCGTACTGCAGCCCATTAGGCTGAGACCAGATGGCAGTCAACTGCTAGACACACTGCCGTTGGGGATCTTGTTGCTGTTGCGTCGCTATCTGCTGGAGGAGCTGCCGGAGCTGGGTGCCTAACTGCTGCACCAGCTGCTGCTGCTGTCGGTGCTGGCTCTGAGCCAGGAACTTAAAAACTTTGCCTGGATCCATTGTGGGACATTTTTTTTGAACCACTGAGGCACGCCCTGAGCCCCTTTCTTCAGGGGTTGGGTCGTGCTCACGTTCTCCACCAAATGAAGCTGGTTAGGCCTCCCAGAGGAGCTCCTCCACATCCAGATCAGTGGGTGGTCACTCCACCCCACTACATAAGGGTAAAACTTATGTCCTTCAGGGGTATGATAAACCACTCCCCTGAGCAATGTAAGTTGCACTGATTTAAGCACCAGTATGGACCATTCTAGGTTAACAAAAGACTTTCTCCCTCCAACAAATGTGAACACCGGTGTGTACTCTCAGCCTTATATTATCTTAGCATAAGTTGGTAACATACTAATTTAAATTAAAGTGATCTAAGCAAAGCTTAAAGGGTTTCAGGTATGTCTACATTATGAAGTTGGTTTAACTAGAGCAATTTTTAAATTAAACTAGTGTAGTTCTCTAGTATATTAAAGCCTTCCCTCAGAATTTCCTATAATTATAAACATGTCTCTTCATAATAAGCAGTTTAATTTTAGATGTTTTTAACAGGCATTTAGTTAGACAACTTAGCATATGTTTATCAATTTAAAATCTGGTCCATATGGAAGATCAGTCCTAATGCTGTAAGTGAGGAAGCCCAATGGAAGAGGTTGCAGAATAAAAATTTGTCTCCATGTGATGCTGTTATTGGCCAAGAGATGGCATACTTCCCATAGCAGTCATTGGGGCCTACATGTTAAGACAGTCTAAAACCATGTTCGCCAACCAGTTGATTGCAAGGCAACGTTCCCAGCCTCCCTTTGCTTCTCCCACCCCCAATGAGGAGCTCCTGCTGGTGCAACAGCCTCCTGCAAAAATAGAGCTAGCTCCGGCTTCTTGCAGCATGATGGGAAGTTCTGAGGTCCATGCCAGATCCAGCTGTGGATCTGGCACGGAGCCGGAAGGAAGGGAAGACACAGTGCGCACTCCTGTCCTGCACATAATAGTGTGCACTCTTTCTTGTCTTTCCCTCCTTCCCCATGCTCTGCGAACATGGGCGGGTAGAGGGGCGGGAGTAGCTAAAATGGCGGTGCAGGATCCGGACCGGCTGGATTTCTTAAAGGAGATGTGTGTGCGCTTCTTCCAGCATCGTCTGCAGATCCTCCCCCAGAGATCCTCATCCCTGGAGACTCCCAGGTACTGGCCGAGTTGCCCCTGCCCCCCTCTCCGCTGGCCAGACCCCCACCAGCACCCTGTCCCCTGGCCAGATGCCATCCAGCACCCTGTCCTGTGGCCAGACCCCCACCAGCACTCTGGCCCCAGACCAGATTCTCACCAGGGCCCTGCTCCTGCCCAGACACCTACTCCCAGCTTGCTCCTGTACCCTACTTCCCACCCACATTCTGCACCTCCATCCCACTCACTGGCAGCTCTGTCCTGCACACTGGACCCCTCATTTTGGCCCCACCTCAGAGCATAGGGGGCCCATAAAATCCACCAACCTGGAACACCAGAAGTGTTAATCTGGCCTGAGCCCTTGAACCTCAGTCCTACCTACCCTCCCTACTGACCATGGGGCAGGAGTGCCACGGGAGGGAGGCGTCTCACTTGGGGCCACATCAGTGAGGCTTTTTTTTTTTTTTTTTTTTTTTTTTTTTTTTTTGTTTTTTTTTTTTTTTTTTTTTTTTTTTTTTTTTGAGGGGTTGGTTTTTTGCATCTCACTTGTGTGGTCCCCGGCTGATTTTTCAGTGGGTCAGTGGCCTCCGCCCCAAAACAGGTTCCCCACCCCTCCCATAAACAGAGACAATGATGACACCTTTTGTGTTGAACATACTTTATTTAAAAATTAAGCCTGGCCAACAAGCCCCCATGTTGGGACCAATTCCCACCTGGCTGCAGCATCATAACACTCCTGCACTCCCCACCTCAACCCCCTGCCCTGAGCCCTTCACATCCCCAAACTCCTGCATTCCCCACATCCCCAGTCTTGTGCCACAACTCTCCTGCACCATCCACACCCCACAACCCTGTCCCCTGAGCCACTTGAAAACAGAATTAAAAGCTCAATTTACCATACATATACTTGTACCATACATATGCTCAAAAATCCTGCTGGGGGACATGTGGGCTGTGTCTACACTGCACCCCTTTTCCGGACAAGGGATGCAGATTAGACAAGTCGGAATTGCAAATGAAGCGGGGGATTTAAATATCCCCCGCTTCATTTGCATAAACATGGCTGCCGCTTTTTCCCGGCAGGGGGCTTTGCCAGAGAAAAGCGCCAGTCTAGACGAGAACTTTCGGAAAATAAAGCCTTTTCTGAAAGATCCCTTATTCCTCTTAAAATCAGGAAAAAAGCGGCAGCCATGTTTATACAAATGAAGCGGGGGATATTTAAATCCCCCGCTTCATTTGCAATTCCGACTTGTCTAATCTGCATCCCTTTTCCGGAAAAGGGTGCAGCGTAGACACAGCCAATGGGTTTGGCATAAATGCTTGTAAAAATTAGGTACAGAAACTAAAAGCTATCAAGGGCTTAAATACTTGTAATGTTATAAACTAACACCTGTGCTTTTTGTACACTAAGTGATTAATGATGCTGACTCATTTCAGATCTCAGGCACTGAATCAAGAAACCAATTTACAGTAACTCATGCTGTACCTTGACCAAAAGCTGAACCCATTGGTCTCAATGCAATCAAATCTATATGTTGCAACTATTTTCCAGGTTGTTATGGAAAATTCCAGATGTTCAAGACTCCTCTGAACTGACAATGATACCTGCTGCTGAATGAAGCAGTTCTATTGGAATAATTATTTCAAAATAAGTGATTGCAAACTTCCAGAATGGTGGTGTTAAGGGGCCTTAGTGTATGCACAGGCTGAGAAGGGAATTTTGAACAAAATACTCACCACAGTAAGTTAAGCTAGCTTTGCACTGTTTAATGCCCTGCTGTGCTCTGCAGTTCACATTCAGTGAGTAGAACCTGTTAAGGTTATTACAGAAGCCCACACATTCATTATTTTTATAAAAGCAAAATGAAAATCAAATGACCCAGTTGCAGTACTGTTCTGCAAAACCAAGGAGTACTATTACAAACATTTTTAAATGATATTCCAAAAAAGAAAGAGACCACTGTAGAAAATTAATCTGACATTTTCAATATTAACTTTGTACTCAAATACTGTAGTACGTTTTGCCTTTTCAAGTGAAGGGAGCACCTACCTTTGTTCTGAATACTGAGAAATAGATTTAGTAGCTCAAAAAGAAAAGGTGGTTTTGCAAATATGCTTTATTGAACTCAAAACAGAAGAGCACTCTCCATACATTTAAATTTTAAGCCATGAATAATTTTGCAGTCAGTCACAGAACCATGCTGCTGTAGGAAAGCCAGAGGGATGAGGGGAGCATCTTTGGTTACTGGATTACTAGCAATGTCTATGCTGTGTATTTTAAATAAATTATCTGTAACCAACCAGCTCTACTGAACGACACATTTGTTTTCCTCTAAGTATCAACATTAGCTTCTACCCTTATAAAATATATATATTTACAATTAATTTATATTTTAAAAATATAGATTACATTTGAAAAATCAGTAGCAGCCAGCCCCTATTCCTCATATTCTTTAAGGATGCCTCAAGTTCTGCTTTATGTGTTTAATATTTGCCTATTACAGTGGTACATTTTTAATAAAGTCTGGTAAATATCTCTATTAAACAATATTAGTTGAAGGACTGAATTGATTAAACTTTAAAAAAACATAGTATGCTAAAACAGACGAAATAGCAAGATGTAATATTAGGCAGGTTGCATTTAAAGAGATTGTAAATGTAAATTAGAAGCTTTTAAAATTAGTTACTGATTTGTGGCAACAAGCAAATTATGGATAGTTTTACTGGAGTAAAAGTCAGTTTAAAGCAGCATGTACAAAACCAACATCCTTACGTTTCAAGAAAAAAATAGACCCCTCTTGAAGTTGTTTGCCCTTCAGAATGAGTTTTAGGTTATTATTTATGCTCTTTGGCGCCACAACACTCTCCATAAACAATTTAGTAGTATATATTTTTTCTATTTCAAATACAACTTTCTTTCTTTATTGCTATGGTCTCTCAATTTTAACTTAGAGCCAGTAACCTTATCGACTCTTTCTATTTAAAAATTTGGAAAACAAATTGGCATGTATTACCTGTATGATGTAAACACTCAATGGCAACTTTTTAATGAAAGGATCATTTTTACATTTCTTATAAGCATTTTGTTATTTCTCTACAATCTCACCTTTTAACTGCAGTTATTACAAACAAGTTGTATTTAATACATTTTATCCATTAGAACTGCCCAAATTAAAAAAAATTACATAAATCAGTGGAAAATACTCCTTTTACGTACCAGATTTAAAAATATCTCTTATCTAATAATATTCAATAGAATTTGAATACTAATGTTTCCTTTAAGCTAATATAAAGTGTTCATCACTGAACTCAGTTTTATTTATACTCTACACTTATGAAAAAGTAAAACCATGTAAAATGTCTTAATATAGACTAAGATGACTTCCAGAGAAAAGGATCCTAAATACCATTTGTTTCAGAGAAGAATTTGAAACCTTCAGTTTATTAAAGAAAAAAAATGGTAAACTATATGGTTAATTTTCAACAAAACTAGGGTTTCTTCTGCAATTTTATACTGAAATACAGTTCATATAACCTCGAACTGTTAGATTGGCAGCCCATTGGAAATCTTTTTTAAAAAAATAAACATACTTTTACAGCTGACAGCAAAACAATTATTTTGTAAAAAGATGTTTAATTCACCATTTGTCTAAAACTAATACATTTTAGAATAAAGCCATTGCATTTGTGCACATTAGAGTACAATACATTTTGGTCAAAATGTTTCATGCCTGTAAGTGTAACAATAGACAGATAGTGAAGTGGATAGTGATTCTACATAAAAAAGGGTAAGGCCTTTACTCAGAGATTGATTTTTCAGATTGCAGAGTGCATGTATACTATATAAAGTGCTTCTGTTAGTAAATTATATTGGCAGTAGTCTCGATGTTCATTTATTCTTAAAAACTTCATTTGGTAGTCTATCCTTCCCTCCTATCTTCCACCCCTAGGAACAAGGCACCTTCAGATGTAAGTAATACGCAACTGTGAAGGATTAAGCTAGAAAACATGTTCGTAGTGGTGTCAAGCTGCTGACTGCTTTTCACCAGACAGTATCATCCACTGAGCTTTAAGATTCAGGCGTTATCAAAAATCATATTTGGAAGAAACTTTTACTTTTTGTTTAGACAGCTAAATCTCAAGAGTTTAAAGTTTTATTCCCCCAAACATAAAATCACACTATTCTTAAGCATACAAGACCTGCTTGTTGAGTGCTTTACTATGACTTGGTAATTCTGATGTGAAATTTCAAATATAATTGTGTCATTTACATAGGGGGCCAGAAGTCCTGCTTATGTACTTAAGTCACGATATTTTATTTACAAGTTGCAACAAATATGGTTTGATCTAGTCATTTATATTTTGCTTTTATATATTTCTCTCTACCATCTGCTTATTTAACCTTACAGTTCATTATGCTCAATGCATTCACACGTTTAGTACTACTGAAGCAGATGGCATCTTTAAAGCACAACTCATTAGTTTTCTGGGAAAAAATTGATCGCCGTTTTATATTAATTATGGCCTGATAGAGGGAATAAGCCATTATAGCACTGCAATGGCAAGTAATATTTTAAAAGTTAAATATGAAGAATTATTTCTAATGTAGAATTTAAGTTCTGAACTACATTAATTTAAGACTGATCTTATAAAGGGCTTCTTCTAAAAGGTCACATTGCAAATGGAGCACATCCTTATTAATGAGTTTCCATATTAAGCTATGTTCAAATAGACGTCATTTATCAGGTTTCCACAAGATACTTTACACTTAAATCACAAAAGCAAGTAATTCACTAACATTGGGTAACAGTCACAACAATGGTTATGAACTTGTACAAGGGACAGATACTAAAAATTGCTTTGGAACCACTGAAGAAGGATCTTTTATGAACAGGCCCCACTCAGATACTCCAGACCAAATGTGAGCTGGCCTCTTGAAAGAGTCTCTCTCATCACACACAACTTTGATAAATGTTAGAATTAAATGAACACATCTTAATTATCCACTCAGGAACTCTACAAGTATTCTTATGTTCAAATGCTTCTGTTTTAGCGTTTAATCACAACTTGTTCGTATGCTCCAGATCCCACCCTGCAAAAATATTGCAAAAACAAACAAGTTTTCAGTTCTAATTTAAATGGAAGGTATTTATACTGAATATAGAACAATGGAATTTGTTTACTTACAAATTCAGAGAAACAACAAAATGCAAAGTGTTTCCAGATGTCTATTTGAATGTGTAAAACTATTTAGTACAACAGCAGAATATGCAGGTTAGAAAATGCCCTATCATGCCATTGATCAACAACTGTATACAATAGGGCTGCGTCTAGACTGGCATGATTTTGCGGAAATACTTTTAATGGAAAAGTTTTTCCGTTAAAAGTATTTACGCAAAAGCGCATCTAGATTGGCATGGATGCTTTTGCGCAAAAGCATCCATGGCCAGTCTAGACGCAATTTTGCGGAAGAAAGCCCCAATCACCATTTTAGCCATCGGGGCTTTTTTGCGCAAAACAGTTCTTCCCTGTCTACACTGGCCCTCTTGCGCAAGTATTCTTGCACAAGAGGGCTTTTTCCCCGAACGGGAGTGTGAAAGTATTTGCGCAAGAAGCACTGATTTTGTACATTACAAAGTCAGTGCTCTTGCGCAAATTCAAGCGACCAGTGTAGACAGCTGGCAAGTTTTTGCGCTAAAGCAACTGCTTTTGCACAAAATCTTGCCAGTCTAGACGCACTCTAGGGGTTTTCATTTTTATACATACATATTTATTTTCAGGCCAGTACAATTAATTTACTTGGGGAAGGTAAACAATTTCCATAACAAACAGAAGTTATGTATAGCTTGTAGTTTAAGACACGCAAGTCTCACACAGCCAATAACATTTGTATTTACCAGAGAAGAAACAAAAGCACCAGTTCCCTCAGTCTCATTACAAGAAGGCACCTGTAGTCAATTATTTGATGTAGTCAAATCATGGATTAGTTTTTGCAGATTACAAAGGTGTGTGAATTGCAACATGTACTAAATTGCTGAGTTCTAGTCATCCTATGTGGATGCTACTGGTATGAACAAAAAGGGGTAGTTAGTTCACATTAACAGGTTTCTTTCAAACAGGACTACATTAATGCAAATTAGCTACCGTTTACTTTATGCCAGAGGTCTCAAACTCTCAACCCATGGGCCAGTCCTGGGCAGAGCAATTGCACAATCCACCCTGGGACTCTCCCAACCTTGGGGAGTGGGGGGGAGAGACCCTGTCTGTTACTGGCCCCCTAAGAACCATCCCTTATCATCGCCCACCCTCCTCTACCCATGGCACCTTCCCCCCAAGCATGTGGCTTTGGGGATTCCTGGGGCAGTGAAGCTTGGTGCCATGCGGCAGCAACAGTGGTGGCCTCCCCACCACTGCACTTCCCACAGTGACCGGAGCTGTGGGGGAAGTGGAGCACACTGAGATGCGCACTCATTCCACTATGCTGCCACCACTGCTGCTGGGAGGCGCCAACCCCCCAAAAGCCGCAGGCTTGCAGGGTGCCATGGGGGAAGAGGGTGGAGTGATGGCAGGGAGGAGGGGTCTGAGGACTGGTAATGAACAGTATGACATCCCCTCCCCCAAAGTTCGAGGCTGAATTGCACAATTGCTCTGTACAGGCTTGGCCTGTGGGCTAGGAGTTTGAAACCCCTGGTTTATGACACCAGCATCCAAAACAGGGCACTTGGAAGGCAGCATGCTAGTGTGCACTACAATTCACAGCTCTGAACAGCAGGGTCAGGTAGCTCTTAGGTCAGGTTTACCACTAGGGGGCAATGTCAAACTAAGGTACACAACTCCAGCTAGGTCAGCGGTTCCCAGCCTTTTCCAGATGGGGACCCATTTTGACAATTCAGGAAGACTTGGTGACCCAAGGTAATTCAAAAACGGGGGGGTGGTGAGCCTTTTGAAATGTAATGGTGACTCATATTTGGGTCCCGACTCATAGGTTGGGAAACACTGAGCTAGGTGAATAGCGTAGCTGGAATGGATGTACCTTAGTTCAAAGTAGAGTGGTGTCCCTATTGTGGAGGTGTGTCTGTGTCTGTCACTGGGAGAAATTCCCCCGTGTTGACTCCCCTTTACTTTTCTCAACCTGGTGGAGTACCAGAGTTGATGGGACAGTGATCAGTGGTCAATTTATTGGGTCTTTACATAACCTGCTAAAATGACCCCCAGGAAATGTTTACTCTTACTGAGGGATCTAAGGCCTTAGCCACAGAATTAAGTCTCTGGCTGCATTCCCTCTTTACAGGACCACTGTCAAAACCAGAAAGAGAAAGCATAATACCAGATCTACAAAGCAGACATTGGTTTGCCTGGTTAAAATTATACTTCACCAGCACCCTCCTACATGGACTACAACAAGCTTACATATAGTTTAACTGCTTAACATTTTAAATGGCATTTTACATCTCTACCGTGGGATTAAGTGAAAGGGAAAATAAACTGACTATAAGGAAAAAATTCAGATACTAAAGGAATAGGCAAGACTGACAAGAAAAAGGCTTCCTGAGAGCAATTAGGCTGTGGAATAATTAGACCCAGAGGAGTAAGACTATAAGTTTCAAACACAGATGCTTACAGTTAGATCACATCTATCTGGATGCCTCAATATGGATTTAGGAACTTAACTTTATACTTCCAGGTTTGAAGTTTTTGCCTTGTATTATCCAAATAATCTGAGCTGTCATATGTCAGACAAAACCCTAGTACAATATGGTTTTGCTTACTGGTACCTAACAAGTATTTATTGTTCAAAATTACATACCTATTAGGTAGATGATGACTTCCAAAAGAAGTACTCCCCCCAGGGCCCACAAATAATCTCAGGCCTTCTTCTATTAAGGAAAGAAGTTAACATGTTTAAACAGGACACCTTCAATATTGCCAAACAAATATTCTTTAAAGAATCTTTTTTAAAGCCATTTTAAATCCATGAACTTTGTAAATTATATTTTAAAATGACTGCATCTGAAAACAATTGGGACCTAGTCATAAAAAGCTGTGCTTTAGGAGAGGCAGTTTTCTTCTAGGATTGCCTCTGCCTTTGCAGCACAGACTTAGGCTATGTCTACACAGCAGCATTATTTCGGAATAACTGATGTTATTCAGAAATAACATAGTCTGTGTCTATACTACAAGCAGTTATTTCAAAATAATGTCGAGCTGGAGGAATTCTTACTACGAATCCTGCAACCCTCACATTGTACTAGGAGTAAGGGAAGTTGGAGGAAGAGTTCTCTCTCGGACTTCCTACTGCGTAGACAGCGCCAAAACCAAAATAAGCTATTTTGACTTAAGCTATGCAATTGATGTAGCTCAAGTTACATAGCTTATTTTGGCTTTAGCCCTGCTGTGTAGTCGTGCCCCTAGTTGAAGTGATGGGTCCTAGGAGCACATACCCTGCAACCTTCCCTCCCTATCAGAAGACCATATCAGCCAGCAATTTTCCCAGCACAGTTGTTAAACACTCCTTACCCCCACAGAGTAGAGGTGGGGATGTGCTTATTAAATTAGTACATTTGGACTTCTACTGTACTATTCATCATCTTTCCAAGGTTTTACTTGTTGTCCCCATATATACCTTCTGCACTGGAGTCTAAACTGAAGTCTTGACTCTGTAATATTTTTTCAACAATATCATCTGCATCTACTCTGGTGGCATCAACCCGCTTCAATTGTGACTCTACGGAGTCTTGCTTCACTGGATGCCTGTCAGGATAAATACATTTAGAGAGTCTAAAACTAATGGTCAACACATTTAATTCAGAGCACTATCACTACAAGAAGCCTTTCAAGTTATGTTAAGTGTACCTGCTGAGTTTTTCTGAAGACATATCTTTAACAGGAGTATAAAAACTATCATCTGTTACTTTGGATTCAGTCTCTTCACATGGCTCTAGAATACTTCCAATTCCTGTAGATGTACTTCCCACTGAGGTGTTTCTCCTATGGCAGAGATCAGAAACGCTGGATGATCTGGAGTGACATGTGCTATACCCTATTGGAAAAGAGAGAAGAGACACACATTAGTTAGATTATTGGAGGCCAGAGCTATGTTTTTCTTTAACTCTGAAAAGCACTGGTTTGTTTTTTCTCCCTAATGAGAGCCTACAAATGTTTTCACCCTCACACCCACACACAATCCAATCACTTAATATATTTGCTTTTGGAGTCTTTGTTGTTCTTTTCTCTGCCTTCTTGGATAGTAGCTTCATCAGCTTGGACATAATCTGGTGTTTTCTTTTCAGGTTAAGAAAGAAACATGAAGTAGGAATACATTTTCTCATGTGGATGACTAGCTGTTATCAGGTCCTTTTCATATGTGACTGATTAATTTTGTCTTCATGGTCACTGTTGGGTTTTTTCAGGTCTTTATTTTTTTTTAATTTCTTCACTTCTTGCATTTGGAGATACATATTCAGAGCCAGACATGCTTTGGTAATTTTGTTTATGTAAAAGAAGGACGAAACTTGATAAAGTTCAAATCCTTCTCTCAGTATTATATGGCATAATTACAGATTTATTTTTGCCAATATTCTGGATACAAATAATTGTAAGTGCAGCTGCTGCAAAAGGAACAAAAAGGACTAAGGGACATTAAAAAAAAAGCTTCTGTTGTAAGTTTGTCTCCTCATTGTTTTGGTCAAGCACGTCAGGCAATTTCAATTCAACTTACACATTTAACCTTTACTTAGAAAATCTAGTTTTCTGCCTTTTGGAATGAGCATGAGTCTTGTTCATTTACCAATTTTTGAAAATGTTTACATTTTACTTTAGAAGAATTAGCAGTTTTCATTATTTGATTTTGTTTAATTGCTTCTTCCATATCCCTTCTTTTAATGTTAGGCAAGAGGAATCACATGAAGTCATACAATGATGGTTGGTAATCACTGAACATTACTCTTTCATTTGTGGTGTGAATCAACAGCTTCATATCTACTACAATTAGAAGAAGAATTTCCCATTTAGTGAATTCTACACTTTGATGAATGAGAAATAAGGTGAGTCAGTCAGCTTTCAGCAGAGCCATGTTATTAGATGTCTTCCTAACTTCCAGATATTGCTAGAGTCTAGAAAACCCAAGGGCTTAAGTCTATTAGGAAATGAGACTTAACAACTTGGTGTTTTCATCATCACTTACTTCCCTTTTCAACTTTTTAGAATGCTTGAAGCTTTTAGTCTCAATTTAAGAAACATTCAAACTTCAGTTATTTGTTGTTAAAAGCTTCCATATACACTATCTCCATATAAACATTTCAGAATGACAGAGTTAAAAAAAAAAGTCCCCCCAAAACAAACCAATACAAACCCAGGTAATTTCACAACTGTTGGTAGTTTGGTTTTAAAAAGGTTCAACAATTCAAAAGCTCTAACAAGGTAGAAAGTTTCATTTTACACCAAAGCCTATTTATCTCAAAATGTTTTGTGAAGCTCCTGAAACACAGAAACTAATTAAAACAACTCAAAGGAATTCAACATCAACTTCTACCTGACAGTTTTGATTGCTGGCTTGCATAGCTTGATGTTCTGGAATGTCCACATGCACCAAGTTCATCTGGGACTGATACACTCTTTGCTGAGAGATCTATAATAAATGGCAATCAGAAAATATTTGTGAATACAAAGCAGGTATGGGCAATAATTTTTGCAGGGGGGACCACTCTTAGATTTTCGTAAGTGGTCAAGGGCTGCACTTTTCTATGGAGGAGTTTGGGGTCTGGGATGGAATTTAGGCGCAGAAGGGAGCTCTGGGTAGGAAACTGGGGTGCAGGAGAGGGTGTGGAGTCTGAAAGGGAGTTTGGTGAAGGAGGCGTTTGTGACCTGGGGCAGGAGAATGGTGTACCATGGTCTGGGAGGGAGTATGTGTGCAGATGGGGATTCTGAGGAAGGGGCATAATAAGGAGTGGCAGGCAGTTGGGTGTAGGGTGCCAGAGGCAGGCTCTGGCCAGGAGGTGCTTACCTAACCAGCTCCTGGGCAGTAACACTCGAGTAGGCTTCCCTGCCTGCCAGCAGCCCCTGGCTGGCTGTCCCTTGTGGCTCTCTGTGCTGCAGGGATGTGAGGGATGCTTTATGCACTGCCCCTTCCCCCAACCAATGGAAACTGAGAAACTGAGCTGTACTGCCTCTGCCCCCAGCGCCCACTGGAATGTTTCCAGCCAATAGGATCTGAGAGATTTTGCTGGGGCCGGGGACAGCACAGGAAGCCTGTCCCCTTCCCCCTCGCAGAGCAGAAAGCCAGAGAGAGCAGCTAGCTGCTTTGAGTGGCGATGTTCTGTGCCACCTGGGCGGGCGGGCCAGATCAAAAGGCTTGGTGGACTGGATCTTACCTGCCCCAGGCCTATAGCCATTATAAGTCTGAGATATATTATTAGATCTCACAAAGTAAGTAGAGCTGGGACTTGATACTATTAGATAAAAAGCCTCTAAGGAAAATCTAGGTGCTGAAAGTAATGTCAGTATTCAAGTACATGACACTCTCCTGGTCCATAAATAATTACTGATCCCAAAGAGAGATGATCAGTGGTACACAACAGGATAGCTTTCAGTTAAAGTATATTAATGACCACAGGGCACCTTGGGACTTGAGTTAAGAGCCATGGTACTTGTCCCAGAAGAGCAGTGTTACCCTAGTGCTGGCCACTTTTCAGTCAATTTTGTAAAAAATTTTGTAGTTTTAATTGACAGAGTACCATTTCATGTCCTAATATTAATCTAATAGTGATGTGTACTAATAAAATACAGTGAAGCTCACCCTCAAGTTCAAGCCTTTTAATAGTAAGTGAACCAAGTTCTAGAGTGTCAGCTTTCAGTATGATAAATGGCACGAGTTTTAAGTGATTCTTAAAACTTGTACCATTGAAAACCTTATTCAATATCTATCCATGATAAATCAAATTGAATATTGTAGCTAGACATTTAGGCTATGTCTAAACTACACCCCTCTGTTGGCAAAGGGATGTAATTTAGATGTATCAAAAGGGCAAAGGAAGCTGAGATTTAAATATCCCATGCTTCATTTGTATAATGGCGGCTGCTGCTTTTTTCCTGAAACGGGGCTTTTTGGAAAAAACTGGCAGTCTACAACTGCTATGAACATTCCTGTGGATGGAGACCTGTAAGCAAATGCAGAGATATGGGGTTTTTTTTTTAATGTATGCTTCTGTCATTTTGGAAGGATCATAATTTTTTGGAGGGGAGAGGGGGGGGAAGCAGGTTCAGTTCACATTGGACTTCATTGGCGCTTATGACTGTAGTATATATAAACTGGCAGGCTTACCCAGTGTTGCCTGGGTACTTCAGGGCAGGGCTTTGAAGATGTGGGTGTGTGTGCAGGAGGATGGGGCTCAGAGGCCTGTTCTCTGCCCCTCTCCCTCCCCCCCCCGGACTACAGGATCTTTCGAAACAGGGCATTTGTGTCGAAAATGCCCGGTCTAAACTGCCGTCCCCCGCCCTCCATCTCCCGAAAAGCTCTGTTTCGAAAAAAAGCTGCAGCCACCATTATATAAATGAAGCATGGGATATTTAAATCCCGGCTTCATTTGCCCTTTCGATACATCTAAATTACATCCCTCTGCCGACAGAGGGGTGTAGCCTTAGAGTCAATGTATCCACAAAAGCATAATCATTAATAAATTCAAGCTTAAGGGTCAGATTCTGCTCTTAGTTACACTGGTATAAATCTAGAGTAATGCCACTAAGATTTGCATAAGTAACACCAAAAACACTTACAAAATATTTCTGAATTTTAAAGGGACACAGACAATTGATCCAGTTTCCCTTGCTTTCCCATTTCCAATAGAAATGCTGCTGCAATTACACTAGTGTAAATCCAGCACATCAAAATAATTACTCTGCATTTACATAGTGGTACCAACAGCAATATTGCTCAAAGAGTAGGGTAGAAAGGGAATTTTGGATAAAATGTCTATGTCTGTTTAACATTCAAAATATTTCATGACTGTATTAGCCGTTACTTAGATCTCAAACGCAAGTAAAACCAATGACATTATTTCATACCTGAAACACCCAAATGTACCTCTTTCAATTTCTCTCCACCTTTCCTGTCCTCATGTAAAGATTCTGATTCTCCAGCAACTGCTATGAACATTCCTGTGGAAGGAGACCTATAAGCAAATGCAGAGATATGGGTTTCTTTTATGTATGCTTCTGTCATTTTGGAAGGATCATAATTTTTTGGAGGGGAGAGGGGGGGGAAGCAGGTTCACTTACGACCGTAGTATATATAAACTAGCAGACTTACCCAGTGTTGCCTGGGTACTTCAGGGCAGGGCTTTGAGGATGTGGGTGTGTGCGCAGGAGGATGGGGCTCAGAGGCTCTGCCCCTCCACCAGCCTGCCAGGGACTGTTCTCCTCTCCCCCGCCACCGGCGCTGTGGCCAAGTGTTGGGGCAGAGGGGCTACTTACTGATATGCTGGCAGGCAAGCTGGCAAAGCCCAGCTCTACTGGCCACTCCCTTGGTGGTACAGCTGCCCCCCAGTGGACATGGACACTTTGCAGTATAGCTTGCTGCCCTAGTGACCACTCTCATATCACATCCCTCAGAACAACGCCCCCCCCTCCTTTGGCACGTTATGGAAAACGGTCCCTTTTCTAGGGCTTCTGGTTGTCCTGGCAGAACCAAACCCTGACCTTGCTTTTGGTTCAGAAAAGAGAAAGCTGCATACCAGATTTGGTGGGCCTAGCTCCGTGGTCACCAACTGGTAGATCGCGATCTACCGGTAGATCTCAGGGGTTCTAAGAGTAGCTCTTGAGCCCTCTCTGAACTGCGCGCCTGCGCAGTACATTTACATTAGATTTCCTCATTTGAGGAGCAGCTACTCACCGAGAAACAACACAGGTGAGTAGCTGCGAGGAATGGTGGGAGCTGGGAGGCTGGAAGGGCTGAAACACCCCAGAAAGCTGACTGTGGCTTTCAGCTGAAAGAGGCTGCCCCGCGCTCCAGCTGATCGGTGGCTTCTCCTCTGCGCCTGCCCACATGAAACTTGGTACACCCTGGCTGAGCGCCATGGCCAGCTAGCAGGGCAGCCACAGCTCTTCTCTCCAGCCCGGCTGGCCCGCGATGTAGTGCACCCTGGCTGAGCGCCATGGCCAGCTGGCCGGGCAGCCCCTTCTCTTCCCTCCAGCCCGGCTACCCTGCGCTCAGCCCAGGGAGGCTGCATCTAGCTCCAGCTGTGCTGGAGGAAGCTTCCCAGGCTGAACACAGGATCACAGATGCCCATCTGATGGACTGTATACGACTAGCAATCTCAGACTACAACCCAGACTTCAAGACACTGGCAGATACTGTTCAGTCACAGGTGTCACACTGAGACTTTGTTATTGGAAGAAAAAATATATAATTATCAATACTTGATTTTAGATTTACAAAATAGCAGAGAACAAAATGTATAATTGTAAATGCTTCATTTGACATTTAAATAGCATGAATTAAAAACAGACCACTTATTTCATAACTATAAACATGTGATTTTAATTTTATATATTGCATAATTTAAAAATAAACTGTTTAACAGTGTATAAGGGCTGGGGATAGCAAGTGATGGACAGGAGAATAGAGAGGGCGGGGCTTCAAGGAAGGGGCAGGGCGGTAGATCTTCACCTATTCTGAGACTTAAAAAGTGATCTTGGGTGTAAAAAGGTTGGAGACCACTGGCCTACCTCATACCATTTAGGAGTCCTTGAACAAATGCACTCACAGACAGATGCACTCCAAAATATATAAAGGATACAGGAATGCAGTCCCTCAGTTCCCTTTATCCAAAACTATTCACGTTCAGCATCTCCTGCGAAGTCCATCCATTTGCTCAGCTTCCTAGGGAGGACTGTGAGACTTCTGAAGGATTCGTGGAAATATTAGCTACTACTAAGGGCCAATATATGGTGCATCTTGTTGATTGACTGTTGGATGTTATTTTTAATTGGAAGGAAAGGTGTTTGGTTTGTATTGAATTTTTAATTAGTGCATTTCAAGCCCAGGATACACATTTTGAGTGTATAAACATACTTCTATACGTGGCAGAATACACTGATTCAGTAAAAATAAAAAAGTGTCCAGTGTCTCCTTTCCATAACATTTACATTAATAGAATGTAAGTTTGTTTGCTGGGATATAACGCAAGACCCCTGACTCCAATTCTGAATACATTTATTTTAGTCTAAGATATTACTAATTTGTTTTACATAAGGAGAGCCAATGTGGAATGAATGACATTTAATACCACAGTACTAAGCTAATGCTTACATGATCACTGGCTAGTCAAACAATAGCAGAGTTGAGCTGTCCGGTTTATTTCCATCTGGAAAAGCTTTTCATAGTCTGCAACAGCAATAATTAACAACTGCCTCAATGACCTCAACCATGAACATGGATGTAGCAGGCATATTTCCTATTAAGCCTTATTCCTTCCCTTTGACTTGTTCTTAGATCAAATGCATACCTAAGCACAGGAGTGGGCAAAAGAGCCTCCGTGGGTTGGATCTGGCCCACCAAGCAAGTTGATCCAGCCCTCGGAGGCCCTGCCATTCCCCTCTCTCGCAGGTCAATAAGGGCCTTGGGTTGGGGGAAGTGCACCAAGTCATCTCCTGCCCTGCCCCTGCCCTGCCAGGAGTGCATGGCACATAAAAGCATTGTGCACTCCTGGCAGGGTGGGTGGAGACTTTGCGTGCTCCCCTCGCCCCCAAGCTCTGATTGGCCTGGGGTGACCCCCGGTCAAAAATTATTCCTATCCCTGCCTAAGCAATAAGTTTGGTTACATATACAAGTAATAGGCATAAAAATACTTAAAACTAGAACAGTTCAATGTATAAAAATGTTAATAACTCAGCTACCCCATACCAAATATTATCAGCACGCCAATTTTAACTACAGTAATTCCTCATTTAACACTATCGATGTGTTTCAGAAAATGATCGTGTTAAGTGAAAACATGTTATGTGGGGTCAATTTTCCCATTGAAAATAATGGAAAAGGTGGGGGTTGCATTTCAAGCGGTGGTATCTGTTGGGACTGGGACATAAGGTTGGGGGAGAAAGGGGACTGGGTTACAGCAGGGAGGGGAAGTGTCTGGCTCTGGGGAAGGGAAGGGAAGGAGAGGACAGAGGAGGGGGATTGGGTTAGGAGTATGCCCCTGTGATGGGTCTGCCAGGACCCGCCCTGCGTCTAGCAAGGGGGGAGTCGGTGGGGAACTGTGCGGCAAGTGGCGAACCCTCCGCTGCTTTGCAGGGAGGCGGGGGAAGCCCTGTGCAGCCACTGGTGATGGGCCAGCTGGGGAAACCCAGCCACCAGCCTGCAAGCAGGGGCAGAGAAGAGGGGGCACAAGGGGGAATCAGCGGGGAACGGCAAGTCTGGCAAGGGGGAGACAGCAGGGAATGGCAAGTCTGGTGAGGGGGAGTCAGTGGGGTACGGCGCAGCGAGCGGCAAACCTTCTGCCGCTTTGCAGGGAGGCGAGGGAAGCCCCGCACAGCTGCCAGTAACGAGACGGCTGGGGAAATCGTGTTATTCCGGGGACAGTCATGTAATTCAAAAAACATTCCCTAAAAAAAAATCATGCTATTGCGAAAACGTGTTAAGCAGGCATGTGTTAAATGAGGAATCACTGTATACCTCAAGGTGACAGAGTTTATTGAACACAAACTGGTTTCACTACAGAAGTATGTCTACCACAATATCATGGACTCTGAGAGCCTCCATGCTGTTGAGGACGAGCAGGGAAAGTCTCAGGGAAGGAGATCATCAAGGAGGAGCAGAAGAAAACTCTTTTATGGTTGGGAACCTCTTTCCAGATGTCATGCTACCCTCTCACACTGGAGTTATCCACTGGGAAGTAGGGATGTAAGCGACTAATTGACTAGACTAGTCATCTAGTTGCTTCCCCACCCCTTGCTGCCTCTATCAGAAAGTGGCAGCAAGGGGGGGGGGAAGGGGGGGTGGTGCTGGGGGGAGCCAGCTTAAAAGCCAGTTCCCTCCAGCTGCATGGGAGGGGGCAGAGGCACAGCAGCATTCTATCTTTGAAATGTACAAGAGACTGAGAAGGGTTTCTTGTAGATTTCAAAGATCAAAATGTTGCATGGAGACCAAGTCAGCGGAGCTTGGGCTCCATGCGATGTTTCAATCTTTGAAATGTACAAGAGTCACAGAAGGGGCTCTTGTACATTTCAAAGTGGAAGTGCCTGCATGGAGCTCCGGGCCCTCCCCACTAGCCCCAGGCTCCATGTGGTGTTTCAGTCTCTGAAATGCACAAAAGCCCCTGCGTGGCACTTCAGCCTTTGAAATGTAGCAACAGCTGGGTGGCTCTTGCTACATTTCAAAGCGGAAGCGCCTTTATCGACTAATCAAATAGTCGATGGAAATCCCATTGACTATTTGATTAGTTGATTAATCTAATTTTAACATCCCTACTGGGAAGGGAACCCAAATTACTAGGAAGAGACAATAGGGATCAGATAGCAATATAGATGGGTTTGTGATGACCAGGAGAACCACATGATGAGCTGCCTGATGGATGTGAAGGTTGCGGATGTCTTGAGGCATCTAAAAAAGCTTACATATGCAGCACTAGGGTGGAGCCCGTGGTGGGACACTTAGGTACAAATGACAAAAGTGGGAGAGAGATGGGGAGGAGAATTTAGGTTGCTAGGTAAAAGATTAAAATTCCTCCATGGTAGCATTCTTTGAAATGCTTCCAATTCCACACCTGGAGCCAGTTAGAAAGAAAGTAGTTGGAGCTGATTTTTATTAGATTAGAAAATTTGAAAATTTCCATTATCTCAGAAGACAGCCAGCAACCAAAACAAAAAACAAAACCAGACATTTGGATCAGCTACAATGTTTGCTGGGTTTTATTTTAAAGTTTAATATTCCAGGAAACAATTAGATCATCAGTTTGAAAGAGATCACCACACCATCTTGAAATAAAATACAAGTTTTAAACACACAACCAAAATATTCTATTTTGCTTTTAATGCAAGCCCCTAACATCAATTATACAATAGAAACAGACTTGTAATCTTGTAACAGGACTTTGGAAAGCTTGGTTACTCATGTTTTTCTGGAAACAAGGTTATCCATAAATCCCAGATACACTGTTTGTGGCAAATCAGTAAA